TTGGTTTTCCTCGGATAAATTGTTTGCATCCATGTTTACCATAATATGGCACCATGGATTCATCTATGCTATGAAATTCTTCGTGAGGAGCGTGCATTAGGAATCTAGTATTTATCATAGTAATCAACGGTCTTATTTTTGCATATTTATCAGAATTATCCAAGTTGTTGTTGTTTGAAAAGTGAAGATTATGAAATATATCGTCAAATCTATTTCGCCTCATAGCATTGGACACTAAACCATTATTTGTATCAGGGGCCTTTTCCCAGTACATACGTCGCCGAGACATTTCATTATACCCAGATAATAAGAGAATTGCAATAAAACATTTCAATTCATTTTTTGTCAAGTCCAAGGAAATATTTTTAGAAGAAGCATAAATGTTTGTATATTGTACAATAGAATCAAAAACTTGATCATCGAAAAATAATTCAAAAAGTTCAAATGGCGCAAGTGAGCCATATTTTATTTTACTGTTTTCATCTGGACCCCAAAGCTCTGTTATTTTAGGAGTCTCTAAATCTCCTTCACGCCAAATTTGAGATGAATCTTTTTGACTTTTTTTCATGCCCACTACAACCCGATTTTTTTTTGTAGTCACAACTTTTTTTTTTTTTGATTCGTAATAATTGTCGGTGTTGAGAATTTCTTTCGGTAAAATAACATTAGCTTTCAATACACTAGCAGGTAAATGGTTTATATCACCTGTATGTTCATCGTTATCGGAGTCTTCGTCAGTAATATTTTCATCCGGAGGTTCTAAGAAAATAGTATCTTCACTCAGCTCATCTGCTTCCAGCAAATTTATAATATCATTCACACAAAGAGATCTAAAAAAAATATACATATTAGGCTACAGAATATCCCAGTGACCTACATGTAGAACACTAATATTTAAACGCAAATAAATGAAAAAGTATGTGGAATAAATTAATTTAATTTATAAAAATATAAAATGTAAATAGTAATATATATGATTGTATGTGTTTTATGTATAAAAAAAAAATCTAAAATATAGTTCACTTACTTTGACGATGAAGCCATTTTTCTATTTGAACAAGGCGGTGTACAAAATGTTACTAACACGTAATAACGTTCGACTATACAACGCAAAATAATATCATCGGGTCGATTATTATATTATCTAACAGCCTAAATCGATAAAATGGGGAAAATTCTAAAAATAAAACCGATAGCAATAATTATTTCCGGTGTCCTACATATAGGCCACTGGGTGTATATGGGTTAACACATTTAAGATAAAAAATTCAATTTTGTTTTATTTTTTTTTTATCCAATACAGCAAATATTATAAGCAGCATAAATATATGTACCTATATATAAACATTTAAAAAAAAAAAAAAAAAAAAAAAACATGATTTAACAAATGGTGTCGTACGAACCGGTTTCACAATTACAAATAACTTCGGTTTTACAATATTTACTTAAGACTTTTTGAACAAACTGATTTCCTTTCATTAACAATACATAAACATCTAGGTGAGAATCGAGTATGTTCTATGAAACAATTATCACCGATTTCAAAACTATGTAGAATTATTCCACACCAATGACATTGAACTGCATCGTCGAGATTGATATAGTAAAATCCACATTCCGAGAGTTTGTACTTATTCTGTCCGGTATTTGAAGGGAATCTTCTAAAAGTTCGTAACCTCGATACAAATGTAGAGAATTCTGGATACGCTGGCGATGAATTGAATCGTATTTGATCGACCAATGACTGGATATCGTTTGTGCATTTTTGAAAATTCATTTTTGAAGAAATTAAATAACTTATCCAATTTAATAAAACTTTGAGAAAATAAAGAAAAATGAGACACAACTTGAGTGAACGAGAGTTCATTAGTAACTGAATATAATAAAAAAAAAAATAATCAACTTTAAAAATTATTGTAAATTTGTTTATCAAATTCTAGATAAAAAAACAGTGTAACCAACACGAGTAAAAAAGAAAAAAATATTAAATATTTTTTTGCGTGAGACGAAATTTGGTACTCAATCAGTATGAAATTGTGTTACACGGTAAATCTGAGTGCTCCAAGGGGACATTCCCCGCTTGAACTTTTTTTTTTCCCTGGAAAAGCTGGCTGTGAACATACAAATATATACTACTGTTGTATCACTCCGGTCCCTTTTGCACAAGATATTAACAAACTGTACTATATGCGTCAGGTTAGACGCGCGACCATTGCAGCCGTTAATGGCTGATCTGCCCCGTGCACGAGTGCGTCCGCGGCGCCCCTTCGAAGGCGTTGGAGTGGATTACGCGGGGCCGTTACAGATGCGTGAGTTACGGCTACGCAAATCTCGCGTGTTTAAAATGTATATGTGTGTTTTATCACCAAAGCGGTCCACCTCGAGGTTGTTTCGGACCTATCTACAGACGCGTTCCTCGCTGTATTCGATCGCTTTGTCACCCGACGAAGCTTACCTAGCGATGTATTTTCGGATTGCGGCACTAATTTTGTAGGGGCTGACAGGCAATTGGGGTCGCTTATACACAGTCCGGAGGGCCAAGCAGCTATTGGAAATGCACGTGCCACATGTGACTGGCATTTTAATCCGCCTAGTGCGCCTCACTTCGGTGGGTTATGGGAGGCGGCAGTACGTTCCACCAATCGGCTATTAGTACGGGTCATCGGCAATCATATTTTTACGTACGAGGAGTTTTCGACAATTTTGGTGCGCGTCGAAGCTGTACTCAATTCGCACCCTCTTACACCCGCCTCTACTGACCCGCACGACCACGACTGCCATGACTGGGACATTTTTTAATCGGGCAACCTTTGTTAGCGGTCAGCAGGTCAGATCCTGCGTCCGTGCGTGATATGTCCAACCGGTGGAAATTGTTGACCAATGCCATCAGGCCTTTTGGCGCCGCTGGTCGTCAGAATACTTAACCACCCTTCAGGAAAGGTCCAAGTGGACCTCTGATACCCCGAACCTCAATGTCAACGACATGGTCATTGTCATAGACAATCAAAGTCCCCCGTTATCTTGGCGACTTGGCCGCGTAATAAAATTGTTACCGGGAACCGACGGTCGGATCCGTGTTGCTCGTGTATTGACAAAAGCTGGAGAAATTGTTCGACCTGTGGTTAAATTGGTATTTTTATCCTCCGAATGAATATTGTACTGCTCAGTCTGGTGTCATCAGCACATCGCGGTGAACTAAAATGCTCCCTACTTTCTTTCCCTGGTATGAGTCTATTGCTACGAATTATGTGTGGCCCTGATAGACCGGGCGTTGGGACGGGGGGAACCCTCACATTGTATTATTTCACTATTTTTTGTTTATTTACTGTAATATTATTTGTACCAACTTTATACTATTATTATGTATTTGTGTTGTCTTTATACAACTAATTATTTATTATTAATTGAATCATACGTTCCTTTTTTATATATTATGTAGATTTTTTTATTTTCCACGCAAATGTAAGATTCGTCGTTGGCCTGATCGACAACGCGAACATCATCTGACCATGAGCATTGGACCTCCACCTCCATCGTTGAAATTTGCCCATCCGGTTCTCCCGACGTCGTGTGAGGCACAGCTCACAGGGGGGAGAATGTTCGAACGCGGCTGAACTTCCCGTCGAGTAGTAACTACTGAGCGTCATTGAGCGGACTCACTTTGAACCAGGAACAGAAGCGCTATCTACTACAGAATCCCTAAACCGGTATTTAAAGGACGCATGTGACAGCTGCATGCCGAAAGGAAATTACCGTGGGGGGGGGGGGAAAGCCAGCGTACTGGTGGACCCAGGAAATATCTGACCTGCGTGACGAGTGCAAGAGGGCCAGGCGTAAGTACAAGAGAGGGCGCCATCGGCCAACGGAATTGCAGGAGCAGGCACGCGATAACTTTAAACAGACGAAAAAGGACCTGAAGAGAAGACCTGAAGAGAAAGAGAAATGCTGGAGAGACCTCTGCGACCAAGTGGAGACGGATCCCTGGGGCCTACCGTACAAACTGGTGACCAAGAAGCTTGTGGGCAGGAGACCGATACCAGGACTCACGCTGCCGGGCAGGGTGGACTGCATCATCGATGGATTATTCCCCAGGGATGAACCAACCGCATGGCCACCATGGTCGGGCCATCACACATTCCCAGAAGTCACGTGTGATGAGATCATAGACGCAAGTCGGAAAATCCCGTCAGGGAAAGCACCCGGACCGGATGGAGTCCCAGACATGATAATCAAGACGATCGCAGTCAAAAAACCAATAGTACTCTGGGATACTTTTAATAGCTGTTTGAAATTTGGCCTCTTCCCACATTCCTGGAAGGTGGCGAACCTGGTGCTGTTAAGAAAAGGCGAAAAAACCGGTGGAAATCCCCTCAACGTACAGGCCAATATGCCTACTGAACACCGCAGGCAAACTGTTCGAGAGAATTATAAAAAGGCGCTTGGAAAAGCACCTTGGAGAGAACGGAGATCTGAACGAGAAACAGTTTGGGTTCAGGAGAGGGCTTTCAACAGTGGATGCGATTAGAAAGGTTATGGAAGTGGTCGAGACAGCAGGATCGGGGCCGCGTTACCGCAGGGAGCTCTGTGCGGTAGTGGCACTTGAAGTGGCGAATGCTTTTAATTCAGCAAAATGGAGCAAAATTGAAGAGTCGCTACGCGACAAAGGGATACCTCAGTACCTTGTCGGAGTGATACGGAGCTACCTAAGCGACAGATCAGTGCAGTACGAGGGGAAGTCGTGGGCCATGACTTGCGGAGTCCCACAGGGATCCTTTCTAGGACCAACATTGTGGAACCTCATGTATGACGTTCTGCTTCGAACGGACACGGATAGTAATGATAGGGGTAGGTCATCGACAACCCTCGTTGCCTTTGCCGACGACGTAGTGGTAGTGGCAACTGGACACACTTCCCACATTCTTGAAACAGTCTGCAACAACGCATTGGATATAGTGTCCGAGTGGATGAGAAGAGCGGGTTTATAACTCTCAGTTGGCAAAATGGAGGCGGTTATTTTGACAACGAAGAGGGGATATGTGCTCCCCCAGCTAAGGATACAAGGCGTGGACGTTACAATAAAAGAAAATATAACATACCTGGGAGTAGAACTACATAGGGTACTCGGCTTCGGCGCCCACATAAAAACGGCGTCCGCCACGGCTTTGGCGCTCTCAAGAATATTGCCAAACATCGGTGGATCAGGGCAAAAGAAGAGAAAGCTGCTATCAACCGTGGTAACAAGCAAACTTTTATATGCCTCTCCTTTATGGGTAGGGGCCCTAGACGTCAAACGTAACGTGGAAGAGCTTCAGAGACCACAGAGGGTCATGGCCATCCGAATCATAAGGGCTTATAGAACCATATCAACCGCGGCGGCTATGGTGATAGCAGGACTGGTACCGGCGCATCTCCTGGCGTGGGAGCGCTCCGAGAGGCACAGGCGGAAGAGCGAAGAGGACCAGGAACGCGTGAAGGACGTGATCCGGGAAGAAGTTATCCACAAATGGCAGCAAGAATGGAACCGTGAGCCTAACGGACAATGGACGAGGAGTCTGATTAAGGATCTGTCAGCGTGGGTGAACCGGAAGCATGGAACCGTGGATTTTCATACAACCCAAATGCTGTCCAGCCACGGGTGCTTTGGGAAGTACCTTTGGAGGTTCAAAAAACTGGACAACCCAAGGTGCATTGATTGCGGGGAACCCACGGACGACGTGGAGCACGTGATGTTCCGGTGCGGCAGATGGGAGAGGGACCGCCGTGCACTAGAGGTTGTAAGGATTTGTGTTTTTTGACGACACAAAAACTACCCACGACCGAAGGGGAACACTCCGATCGTGACCTGTGAGCCGCACCGCGTGAGACCCGAGGGTCAGGTCGGTGGAACTCACAGGTTTTATACACGCATGGGCTAATGAAAGCCCAAGATTTATGGGGGGAAATAAGTTGAATTAATAAATAAATAATAACAGAGATTTTCAGGGTAATTACACGAGTGTATTGTACACAAAGGTAGATATAAGTTAATAAAAGTATAACATGGCACATGGCAAATACAAAAAAAAATAAAGATATAATAAGGTGGCGCACATCACATACACGAGGTATATGGTGGCACAGGGCAAATACAAATTAAAGAGGCCGTCTAAGCACGTTATTTTAGTGGTGTCATACTAACAATAAAAATTATAATCCGGAGGGAAACTAACGGGGGATGATGTGGGGAAATATATCATAGTTACGACACAGTAGTAGCGGCAGTGTTGATGTTGAGATGAAGTGTTGGTCTTCGATGATGAGGGGTGGGCTGGCGAACGCCACCGGCACACACGCGGCCGGCATGGCCCACCTGGTCGTCGAAGACAGCCTCTCACATGATGAACGAAAGAAAAAAAATGTATTCCGCAGCATGGTTGGTATGGCCACCACAGCCCGACGGGTATCGGTTAGCCCATCATGTTGATTGGACGTCGATGGAAATATTGTAGAAACCAAAAAACTGTTGAACGCACGTGGTTGATGCCGGAGCGCAGGACAATTGTGTTGCGGACGTGAATTAAAGGCAAAACGTCTTGCTTATTCAGAGGTCAGTAAAAGAAGAATTTTGGTGTTGATTCATGGGCCGCAACGGTCGTCGTGGTTGAAAACGGTGTGAGGTGGGGTTGAGCAGTGTGGGTTGTTGAGGGGAATTTACAATAATTTGAGGGAATTTCAGTACAGACTGCTCTGCCGACGCACACACCGATGGACACGACGGACGCGCCCAGCGGCGGCGACCGACAGCCAGCGACGAACGTCAACGACGGGACACTGCAGATGGTGGGGATCGGGGGACAGGTGGTTATATAATATCGGTCGATTCACTGTATCAGCTGCGCGAGGGTGGATTGATATAAAAAAAAAAAGAATAAAACTATATTAAATGACATGGGTACAATATTATAAGAGGGTCAAAATTCTGTTACCTTACAAGGTTGAGCTGGAAGAACCGATAGGCGCAAACAACATCGTTGAAATCATGCTCAAGAGGAATACGAACTGGGAAGCTGTGAAAAGATTCATCGGGAAAGTTCAGTCCAGAAGGGAAGAAGAGGAAAGAATAAGACAGAAGAGAAACCTTTAGTTAAGTATGATAAATTGTGCGCCGAAGGCGGAATTAAGAAGGATAGAGCCTTCTCTTTTCTGTGGAGCAAAGCTCATTAAGTATGATATTGTATATTATGTAACAGATTTTGTGTGAAATGATACGGATACAGGGGGAAGGACGGCCCTAACGGGTGAAGTGCCCCCCTGTAGCGCCGTGATACCATCACAAAAAAAAAATAAATAAAATTATAATACATATAGAACAAACACAATAAGTACTTATAAAATAATAAAAATAAACTCTTTATAAATGCCAAAATATGGCTATAATGATGCATACCAACCAGTACAATGTGAATATTTTGATTTTATTTAATTTTCAGAAAAATAATGTTATATTTTAATGTAAATTCTAAATATAGTAATAACCAATAAGTATTTTCAAATTGAACAGTTTTTGTACAACACTAAATTCTTTATAAAACCTGCATAGTGCAAATATTAACCACAGATTTTAACTTTAAATACAACATTAAGAAGTGCTTCTAAAACTGTTACTTGACTAGTTTAAAATTTAAAATGTTTAATTTTTAAGTTTAAATCGTTTAAATTATTTCTGGTAAATAATTTATTGGTCCAGTATATTGCGAAAGGCTTTGTAAATGGTTGGTCCTCACAATACTGTTTGTGTACTTGACTTTTCGTAAAGAAAATACTAATTCTGGTCATCTCCCTGAAATTGTCGTATTTGCTTATCATGGTGGATGATGTGCTTCGTACCTATATAAATATTTATTTTTGGAATTACAAGTGACGTGCGTTATTAATCATTATTTTGATATTAGTTTTACTCATATAGTCATGATATACCTACTTAATTTTAATTTAATCATTTAGAACATCTGTCTTAGATAAAATATTATTTTATAAGAATACCTATTGTAATTTTTAAATTGATTTATAGTATTCTTTATTCCTTGTATATATTATATTATGTTTATTTGTCATTAACTAGTAATAATAAAAACTCCCTATTTCCAATACAAGCTGCATGATAGAATATTCTATTTAAGTTATATTGTCCTCAGTTCTAACCATACACAATATAATATATTAATTATTACAAGTTATGCTTAACTAATGTTTTAATGAACCTTAATGTTATACACTTTATAACTTATAAAATAATTTTTCTCACAAACTCCTCATACAAACATTTAGCTGTGTCATATTTTAATATGTAGGAATATGAGTAATTAAAAATGAACAATTAAGCAATTTTTAACTTATAACCCTTAAAATTTAACTATAGATTAGTCAATAGACATACTCTTATTCACAAAGTTGCATTTAAATCTCAAGTCAAAAACCAACAATTGAATATTTTTAATGGCAAGCGGAAAACAAAAACATCCATACAATTTATCTTTTTTCTTTGTTTTGGGGGTTTTTGTTGCTGCTGTTGCTGTTGTTGCTGTTGCTGCAGCCTTTAGCCTTTCAGCCAAAGTTACTGCTGCTGTTACTGCTGCTTCTGCTTTTTGTACAGCAATGGCAGCCTTTGCCCGTGCTCCCCCCACTGCCCTTTTCTGGCAGGCGCCAGTGTCATGGCCATTCCAGCCGCCACCTATGAAATCAAAAAAATTAATATATGTAAAATAACAGTGAAATGGATTATTGTATACGTAAAATGTTGAACGTTAGTAACTCTTTTAAGATTATTAGAGAAAACACACTTTGACTACTGTAGCGAGCTGTGACTATTTAGTTATATGGGTTAAACACATTCAATGCATACGTAATCATATAATGTTCGCACCGCGTAAATTTAAATATTATACACGAGCGCTTAATAGAGTAATAATATAATATCCATAATTTTTATATCAAGCGCGTGACCATGAGCTGCGTGCGACAATAGATATATGACTACGTATATGAATAACTACTTGATTATGATTACATGAATATAATTATGTTAAATAACACCACAAATTTACAATATAGAGATATGTAGATTTCCGGCGCGTGCAAGCGTGTGAAATCCACAAAAGGTCACAAAAGGCTTAACCGCAAGACCATATATGGTCTTAAAAAGTATGGAAGTGGCAAGGGACAGAGATCCATCGTAGAGAGCTGATGGACGGGCGTCCGTCAGACGAGCAACCAATCTCAACTTCGACAGTCACACCACTAAATACTCATAGTCACAACTCGCTTTTAGTTTATTATTTGGACTTAGGATAAATTCCATAAAACTGTTTATAAAATAAATACAATAAATACAATCAAAAGAGGTTATTGTTCTATTATTGCTTCCAAATCAACAAGTAACGCTGTTGGGCACGTTACAAATTGGCGCTGTGGACAGGGAGTCTCAAAAGATACTTAGAAGAAACCCGAAGAACACTTTAAAATTTTTTTCGAAATTTTCGAAAAATTTTTTTGAAAAATTTTCATCTTCTAAATTCGATCAAGGAGGGAAATCCATCACTGGATCACCGTTGGATTACTGATCACCTGCCAACAACTCCGAGAAGAATCCTGTACAACTACATAACACCCTACTACAATCAACATTACAACCAAACAAATGGAAGCACCCGCAGTACCCGCCGTGTTGTTGTGTGTATTTAGAGTAATTAAATCGTTGTTCGTCTCCTATGGTATATTATATGACCATAGTATATATTATAAAGTGAAAAAAATTATTCGTGTTAAATTAAATAAGGGAATTATCTAGAACTTTGAATTTTTCGTGTTAAATAAAATAAATTGTGAGGAACTTTAAATTTTTTTTAAAAATAAAATAAAATTGTTCAACCTTAGATTTAAAATAATAATATAAAATAATAAAATAATATTTAATAAATATAATAAAATAATAATAAAATAAAATAATAATTAAATAATAATTAAATAAACTGAAGTTTTAATTTAAAATATTTTTATTGTCTAATTAAATAATAATAAAAAATAATAACATATTGTAACTTAAAAAATCTTAAACACTTTTAATTAAATAATATTTAAATAAAATAATTTAATAGTTGTTTGAAATTTATTTTTTTTTTAAATTAAATAACATTGAATAGAGTAATAATTTTATTTTCACAATAACGTCGCGAGTTAGCAAATTTTTAAATATAATAAATAATAATTTAATTTCGTAGAAATTTTTCAATCATTTAAATAAGTTAAAATAATAATTAAATTCTAAAATAAATTTCAATCATTCGAATAAAATAGAAAATATAATTTAATTTAAAAAATAATTCTACAATCATTAAATAAATAAAATAACAATTTTAGTCACTTGACCACTATTTTAATCATTTAAATAAAATAAATAGAATTTTATTTTAAAATAATTTTCATTTAAATTAAATTAAATAATAGTTATATTTTAAATAATTTCCAATCATTCAAATAAAATAAAATAATAATATTATTTTAATTTTTCCTAAACGTTTTAATTAAAATAACTTAACAATTATTTGAAACTTAAATTAAATTTTTTTAGTTAACTAAAACAATAATTTGTTTTTAATTTTCTCTTTAAATAATTTCCATTTAAATAAAATAATAGTTATTCGAACTTGACTTAAATTAATAGTTAAATAAAATAATAGTATATTTTAAAAGAAATATTCAATTAGTTAAATAAATAAATAAAATAAATACTCTAAGTAAATTTCATTCAAACCAAATA